ACTGCAGAAATGTATACTCTTCTGTGCATCCTGTGTTTATGAGTCAACATTTTTTTCTTGGACTTCCTGTCCTGACCTCTGCTCTGCTCATGTTAGCAGTGTTGAGTGTGGAATGTCGTCCACCTGACTGCATGTGCTTGTTCACTGCTTGCGCAAACTCCTCTGAGATGCATGATTTCCAAGTGCTCCATCTATGTCAAGTTTTTTTCCTTCCTGTCCGCTGGACCCGTTGACGCCCGGCCTGCCACCCTGCCCCTCACACTGAGCTGAGGAATCCAGCCCCTGGCTCCAGTTACGCCACACTCCCGAGATGTTGCAGAGGAGAAAGTGGAACTGTAATTTATAGAATCTGGCCAGTGTGATAAGTTGAACTTTGGAGAGCCAGCAGGTAGAAGGAATGTTCTACTGCATGTTTCTACTGAAAACACTGACGATCTCTTCCAGAACCTACTGAGCTGCCTACTTAAACTCACAGTATACTTCAGTTTTGACACAAATGGTTGGCGTATACGTAGAGTCGAGCAGTCTTTCAAAATATACTCTCTTTGATAGCGTGCACAAACACAGGCGGTCAATATGTGTGCACTGGAAAGATTCATACTTCTCTAGTGTCTGCACCATTTCTCTCCAGAAGTTATGTGCAATAAAAATGTCTTGATACTATTTTAAACTAAATTTGAAAGTATTTCTTAACCCCCTCACGTAAGCACTTGTCAGCATGGGCATCTATTGTTGTTGCGTCTCCAGTAGTTTGTTATTCTGTCTCTTTCATTTGTTTTTTGACAGTGAACGCATCGGGCCAGTGCTGCGCGGTTAGAAAAACGTGACTGCGTGTGTACAGTACGCACATACTATGCAAATGATGAAATGTATGTCACATGCACTGTACACAAACTCTAGTGTACCCATAAAAACTGAAGTATACTTTGGACTTTAGGGAGCATTTCAAGGCATCACAGGTGCCCTCCCGACAGAAAGGCTCTTCCAAAACACTTTCTCTTGGTCAAATTGTAAGGCAGCATCATCTGTTTCATTTCAGGAGAAGACAGTCCTATAATGTCTAATTAAAATTGACTGTTTCATTTACTATTTGTGTGCTGAGACATTTTATGCTTATTCGATTATCATGACATTAGCATCATGCTAATGCCAAACTCCTTTGAAATCAATTGTGAGTTGAGCCTTCACACAAGCAGCAACATTATTTAAGAGGTTTCATTTCAGTTAGGCTGTGTATGTAGGCTGTAAACAGCAAGGCAGCACACTAGGTTTTGGAACAGACCCTGAGTGGATCCACTGTGCCTGTGTGTGGGCAGAACACAGCATACATGTTCACACATAAAGTATCTCACAGACGTGAGTACACCCCTCACATTTTTGTAAATATTTTATTACATATTTTCATGTGACAACACTAAATAAATTACACTTTGCTACAATGTAAAGTAGTGAGTGTACAGCTTGTATAACAGTGTAAATTTGCTGTCCCCTCAAAATAACTCAACACACAGCCATTAATGTCTAAACCGCTGGCCACAAAAACGCATTTACTTACACATGTTTGAGAATCGAGATATTTCCTGATACACGTTTGGAAATATTTCGAATAAAAAGGAAAAAAATAAAATAAAACAGTTATAAACTATATCAGTTATACAGTGCTATGGTGGCTGCTGTGTCACATGACAAGCATGACGAACCCCCCAGACCCCCACACACACTTGTGCCCCCTCAAAAATCATGAGTGCATGAAGCCCCTGAGTGTGACACATACATACATACACTACCAGTCAAATTTTATATATATATATATATATATATATATCAAAGTGGTGGTGGGCCGCCTGGACCAAAAAATGACAGGGCCGCTTTTTTGTCCCAGTCCAGCCCTGTGCTGTATGGTCTTGGCCACCGTGCTGCAGCTCAGTTTCAGGGTCTTGGCAATCTTCTTATAGCCTACGCCATCTTTATGTAGAGCAACAATTCTTTTTTTCAGATTCTCAGAGAGTTCTTTGCCATGAGGTGCCATGTTGAACTTCCAGTGACCGGTATGATAGAGTGAGAGCGATAACACCAAATTTAACACACCTGCTCCCCATTCACACCTGAGACCTTATAAAACTAATGAGTCACATGACACCGGGGAGAGAAAATGGCTAATTTGGGCCCAATTTGGAAATTTTCACTTAGGGGTGTACTCACTTTTGTGGCCAGCGGTTTAGACATTAATGGCTGTGTGTTGAGTTATTTTGAGGGGACAGCAAATTTACACTGTTATACAAGATGTACACTCACTACTTTACATTGTAGCAAAGTGTCATTTCTTCAGTGTTGTCACATGAAAATATATAATAAAATATTTACAAAAATGTGAGGGGTGTACTCACTTCTGTGAGATACTGTATATGTAAATCACTTGAAAACATCTGCTGCCATTACATACTTTACTGGAATTGCATGCCAAGACTCCAGCCTAAGTGAATAAATGAATCATTGCACTTAATTCACCCATACAGACCTCATTTACTACTCATCAGGTCTAATTGTATTTTGTTACCGCCAACATGTCTTGTAAATTTGACTTCGACTTATTAATTGCTGCTGAATGAGTATATTATTGTCTTCCTCATATCTTTTGATTTTGATGTGGTCTATTTTGGATGTAGAATGGTGTAATGAATACATGTTAACAGATTAAAGGTGGGGTATGTATTTTTTTCAAAAGCGCTTTAGAAAACTTAGTCGGGCCGAGTACCAAAACAAACTTGTAGCCAATCAGCAGTTAGGGGCGTGTCTACTCATGATGTGGAGGAGAGAGCACTCAGTGCACAGGACGGACATTAGCCGAGCCGAGCGTTTACTGGAATTGCATGCCAAGACTCCAGCCTAAGTGAATAAATGAATCATTGCACTTAATTCACCCATACAGACCTCATTTACTACTCATCAGGTCTAATTGTATTTTGTTACCGCCAACATGTCTTGTAAATTTGACTTCGACTTATTAATTGCTGCTGAATGAGTATATTATTGTCTTCCTCATATCTTTTGATTTTGATGTGGTCTATTTTGGATGTAGAATGGTGTAATGAATACATGTTAACAGATTAAAGGTGGGGTATGTATTTTTTTCAAAAGCGCTTTAGAAAACTTAGTCGGGCCGAGTACCAAAACAAACTTGTAGCCAATCAGCAGTTAGGGGCGTGTCTACTCATGATGTGGAGGAGAGAGCACTCAGTGCACAGGACGGACATTAGCCGAGCCGAGCGACAGAAAGATAGAGGTGGCGGATAAAAAAAATAAAAGAGGAAAACTTCAATGGAACAAAAGAAGGCTTCCGATAAGGCAAGAAGTAGGACCCGTGTAAATATCGGATCAGCTTTCTTTTCCAGTGCTGGAGAGAACTCAAGGAGCGGGAATGCCCGCGATCGGACGCCAAGGTTGCTTTGTTTCTTCTCGATAGGTGAGTAACAACGTGTGTTAGTCAACATTGGCTACGAGAAATCACTTACCCCACCTTTAAATGAACAATAAATATGCAAGGCTACATTTATTTGAAGACAGAAAATACTGCAAATACAGTAATATTG